GAAGCAGTAAAGAAAATTCGCTTAAGTGCCTTTTTCGGTTAAGTGCACAAATTTTTCGTGCAAAGAAGGATGTGCAGCTAAGCAAAATATACTGTATATAATACGCGAAGGCATTTTTTGTTCAGGATAAAAGATCTGCACCGTTCGCTCGATTTTCAAAAATGGGGTGTCAAATTAAAAGGGTTGGACTATATGTGCAATAGGGTTTAAGTTTTTCGAAAAGAGTTGCCACCTTTCAAAAAACTATATTCAAATTAAAAAAAATAATAATAATAAATCAATTATTACAATATGGGTATCAATCGAAATGGTTTTCAAAAGCTTTATTTCTTAGCTGAACTAAAGGAGGGTTGCCACCTGTTTAAAAAATCATATTAGGTAAGAAAAATATGTATCATTATATGGGTACTAAATGAAAGGGGTTTGGATGTCAAACGAAGGAGTGTTAAGAAATCTTTAGTTTGAACGCTAAGAATATTTTTGAGATGTCGAAAGAGAGTTTCCACCTGTTTAAAAAGTTAAATTCAATTTATTCAATAAGTTTAATGAATTATTAAAATATGGGTCTCAGCCGAAAAGCGTTTGAAAAACTCTTATTTCTGAACTGTACTTAGCGGGGTAGCCATATGTTCAAAAAATCAAATTCCACTTAATTCATAAATTAACTAAATTATGTATCGCAATGTCAGGCGAAGGAGAGTTAACAAAGATTAAGCTTGAAAATACTTTTGAAGAGGGCTGCCACCTGTTTGAAAGGTCTAACTGAATTAACTTATACAAAAAGTATATGAAATATAAAAATACCGTAGTCAAATGAAAGAATATTAAGAAATCTTTAGTTTGACCATGTGGAATGTTTGAAGGTGGCTGTTATGTGTTTAAAAACATACATTCAAATTATTAATTTATTTAGGAGGGTTGCCATTACTTCGAACAATCAAATTCAAATTAGTTGTTCGGTTTATTGAAATATATGTGTATCACACGAAAGAGATTTAAGAATTTAATTTAGGAATACTTTTGAAAGGTAATTTCAAAAATGAGATGCCAAATTAAAGAGTTTACCTGCAGATGTGTGGTAAAGTATTTTATGATTTTTTTTATTAAGAACTTTTTTCATCGGTATAGGATGATTTGAAATTTGATGAAATTAAAAACATGTACTAAGCCAGACTGCTATTCACTGGCACTCGGAACTCTTATAAGTCTGGCTAACATTTGGAATATTTTTTAAGTTTTGAAATTAAGTTTTGGGCGTTTTAACGCCATGCAGGTTCACTAGTTACTTCTAAGAATTTACATAATTAGTCCGTTCTGAATTAACCAGTTAGTAATGAAAGAAGAGCAATTCAGTTCACAAAATGCTTCCGATTCTATGAAATCGTTTCCAATTCTCTTCTCTCCCGCCAATTCGTTGACGTCTTCGATACCATTGGTATCGCATCTATTGTTGTGTCAATTCCGCCCACTGTGCTTGACGGGTTTTGCTCGCATACCATTCACACAGCCACAGCCTCAGCCAGTCAGTCAGCCAACCAGCCAACCAGCCTCTTTTACTTTTGCTACTTGAGATCTTGCACATGCGGCAGTTGGAGTAGGCCAATTCCTGTGCGATAATAAACTGCGCTTGTATGTACTTTTTATTATTTCAAAGATATTTGCCAGTTTATTTGCTGCTGACAGCAAGCGTGGCATAGAGCAGACTTTGTGGCGCGTCGTAGTGTCGCCGCTGCCGCTGCCGTTGCCGCCGAGCCTGTTACTGTTTCTAGTTTTACCACATCCAAGCAACTATGTAGTGGAGCTACAATTGTCTCTTTGTATCAAAATATTTAAGTCTCTTTGTTTGCTGGCATCGCAGACGTTTCTCGGCTTATATGTGAATTCACAAATAAAAAAAAAATTAAAATAAAAAATATTTTTATATAACATTTTTTGGCATCAAAAATAAACTGTTAGTGCACTTTGCGACTTTTTTCTGCAAAAAAATAATAATACGAAATTTTATTACTTACAAATGTATAACAGCATGAAGTAAATGTGCGTTATTTACACTCAACTTAACTGACGCTTTTGGGGGCAAAAAAAAAAACAATGCTTGACTCTTAAATGGAATGGAAATGTGAAGCTATAAAGATACAAATTACAAATGTGAATTTTGATATTTGGCAATGGTTTTTGCACAATTTATTTGGCATTGTGCGATGAGAGCATCGTATTTTTATCGCAGAAGATTATTTATTTTATATTGTCATTAGAACCTTGGTTTATATAATTTAATTTAATAAAATAAGCACACGGAGATCTAGCATCCCTGAGATTACTTCAAACTTCTTGATAATCGATTGAATTACTTCGGGTGTACCACAAGGCAGCATACTGGGCCCATTATTCTTCATTTTATTTATAAATGATATAGGATCATGCTTTTCAGCTGTTAACTATCTGCTTTACGCCGACGATCTTAAAATTTATTACGAAATTAAAGAGATGAATGACGCACTTGTCCTTCAGGCTGATTTGGACAGGCTGTATTTATGGTGTGTAAAAAATAGGCTTTTTCTTAATATAAAGAAATGTCATCAAGTAACCTTCTCCAAGTTGCTGCAGCCCTTCCAAACTTCTTACCATATTTGCAATACCCGTTTAGATTCGCTTAATGAAGTGAAAGATCTCGGTGTCTTTTTCGACTCCAAGTTTACTTTTGTCACGCACATAAATTATACTATTTCTAATTCGTTTTCAATGCTTGCCTTTGTTCGTCGCAATAGTAGGTGTTTCTCCAATCCATATACTCTTAAAACCTTGTACACTGCTTTTGTTCGGTCTAAATTAGAGTACGCCGCCTTCATTTGGAGACCGTATCATCAAGTACATATCATTCGGCTGGAGTCGGTTCAGAAGACATTTTTACGGCATGCTTTGCGTTCCCTTAATTTTTCCGAGCCGATCCCATCATACTTAGCGCGTTGTCAATTGATCAACCTAATGACGCTGAGCAATAGAAGAATTTTCTTATCTGTATCTTTTATGCTTGATATTGTCTCGGGCACTGTCGACTGCCCTAATCTTCTTAGCAGAGTTAAGTTTAACGTCCCCGCAAGAGTTTTACGCAATTACGAGGTTTTTGCTATTGGTTTTAGTAGAACGCTTTATGGCAGTAATGCACCAATCAAAAGAACCCTGTCTGAACTGAACAAACTCTCAAGTTCTTTGGACCTAGATCTCTCGCTCACGAAGAATGTCTTAAATAATAAACTTAAGCTTTTCTTATTATATAAATCCATTGTATAGGTAATAATATACATATTATTATTTTTCTATTATGCTTTGGTCTGTACCTGTAATTAGACTATAATGAATGAATAAATAAATAAATAAATAAATTAGAAAGAATCTGGCGCTCTTCTCTTAAACCCGCAAAGCCACATGAACCTTGGGGTTGCGGAGGTCTGTCTTTTGTAAGGCATTGGATATAGGCCACTTTGTCCTGATCAACCCCCGCCAGCACTTGCACTTCGCCGATGGACATTGGAGTAAACTCGCCTTTCCAAACACCGCTGAATGCACTAAAAGGCTATCAGGAGATAAATACATCCGTGAATGCACCGAGTAGAGGAATTTCAATAACTACATAGGAAGATTGCTGCCAGCTTCTTCTGGGAATATCAAACCGGTGTCTCGCCAACTAACTATGGGAAGCCGTTGGAATAACTGCTTCCTTCATCGGTATTGCCCCTTTGCTGCGTCCCTGGTCATAAACTGAGGACAGTTTTTTGATATTTGGGTAGCTTCGAACATTTGTAGTCTGTTGGTTGTAAGTGATTCAGGAAGGTTGGGTTAAGAACCCCTAAAGACCTTCGTGCTGGCGTAGGCCCTGCATGCCAAGTGTTTTCGCCTTAGTGCCAGTTTGTATGTCCTTTAGTAAAAAAACTCGACTTTATATTAGATCCCTCGTAGCCCACAAATTTAATATATATTTTTTCGATCATGCTATAACCGTTATTTTCAGATTTAATTTAATTTTTTTAGATCTAATGGCCTTATTCATAAAAAATAATGTAGATTTAAAAAGTTTTATAAAGTGACAGTTTCATAAATTTTTAAATTTTTAATCCTTTTATAAAGCTACTTTATTTTTTATGCATAAGGCTATACAAGTTTTAAAACGGCATTATAGCGGATAAAAATTATTGAAAAAATAAGAATGGCAAAATAGCAATCTAATTTGAATATTTAGTCAAAAAATTATAATCCAAATTTTACGATTATTTTTTAACGAAAAAATAATAGCCGGTTTCGCCAGCAATTTTAATGGAAAATGATTTTTTATTTTCTATGAATTTCCATATAAAATTAAAAAAAATTAAGATCAATTTTCACTTAAACTGCCTTCGTGAAATTGGCTGTAAGAATCACAAAATAGCGATCTAAATTTAACAATGGAATTTTTACCAAAAATAGAAAAACCACAAAATAAAAAAATAATCAAAAAAATAATACTCACAAAATTTTGGCCTAATCCAAATTTAATGATTATTCGATCGCACAAATAAAAATCAAAATATAACGATTTTGCTATGACCTAAAAATAAAAATATTTGTAGTTAATGATTATTTTTGTTGATAAGCATTTTTTTTGTCGATTTATTTTTATCGTTTAGATTGCCGATATTTATTATCAGTGGCAATGTTCATATGTTCGTACCTAAAGGTGGAAAGTTGACAAGTCTATTTTTTTTGAAATTTCTCATTATCTGTCATTCTGCATCAAAACCTAAATTAAAAAAAAGTAGACTTGGCACCTTTTCACCTTTAGGTAGCGATGTATTTTTTTCCAACAATTATATTGTCGTAGGATTGTCTAATAAGTTATCGATTAATTTGTCGGTATCAACATTGACGAATCCAAGAAAAACCGATGAGTTAATGCCAATATTCCAGCCTTATGATTTCTAAATGAGTTACCAATTTTAATCACTTCCTCCTGTTTTTGCTTACAGCTTCGTCAAGGACTCCGAGTGGTCACCTTGCAGCGTCACCTGCGGCGAGGGTGTCCGCCGGCGTGTTTTTCGCTGCAAAATCTTCCTCGAATACTCACGCACCATTGCCACCGTCAACGATTCGCTCTGCGAAGGCATCAAACCGCACGATGAAGTTGAGCGTTGCGTCGGCGAACCATGCATGTTGCCCTCGCACCCCTATGATGAACAATATCCACGCGACTCGATCAAAGTAGGCGTCTCCGAGCCGGGCAAAACGTATGTGTGGCGCGAACAAGGCTACACCTCGTGCAGCGCTAGCTGTTTGGGTGGCGTTGAGGAGCTCATCGTAAATTGCGTGCGTGAGGATAACGGACGCGTTGTATCGCCATTCCTGTGTTCACATGATACGAAGCCAGAAGCGCGCGTACGCACTTGCAACGATCGACCCTGCCCACCACGTTGGAATTACTCCGACTATACACCCTGCTCGAAGTCGTGTGGCATCGGCATTAAAACGCGCGAAGTGCAATGCATACACGAAGTGACGCGCGGCGGTGAGAATACAATGGTGGTGCCGAATAGCATGTGTCCACAGCCGCCACCAGCCGATCGCCAGTACTGCAATGTGCTCGACTGTCCGGTGCGTTGGGAGGTGGGCGAGTGGTCGAAATGTTCGCACACTTGCGGCTATGGCATTAAAGAGCGCAAGGTGGAGTGCAAGCAGATAATGGCACAGGAGCATAAAATCGAACGGCCTGAATCGATGTGTTCCAGCGCTAAGCCGCCAGACAAGAAGCCATGCAATGTGAAACCCTGTCCACTTGAGGATCCGAAGCCAGTTATACAAGTCAGCAATACTACACACATACAACACGATCCGAAAAAGTCGAAAATCACACTCAAAGTAGGTGGCGCTGCAGTGGTCTTCTTTGGCACGCAAGTGAAAATAAAGTGTCCAGTGAAACGTTATAATCGCACAAAGATAAAGTGGAGTAAGGATCACAAACCGTTGGCGCGTTCAAGGAAGTTTAAAGTGTCAAAGAAAGGCGCTTTGCGTATATTGGACATAACATTCCGTGATGCTGGTGTGTATTCGTGTCATGCGGGACATAGTTCGGCGGAGATCAACATTGAAGTGAAGGCGAAGCCTGGACAGCAGCCGGAAGAGCTGAAATTACAGGAATCAGGTGAGTATGGGAGAAAATAATGCACTCGTGTATTAAATTAAGGCTAGTTTAAAAGCGATTACGAACCATAGAAGACTCAACAAACATTTAGGTCAGAGAACGATTAGAAAATTATTCGAGTTTTTAATGTGTTTCTTTAAGGTAGAAAGTTAGTAGGCGATTAAAGAAACTCCCGAGAATTATAGCATTCTCTACAAACAGTCCCCCGATACTGCGAAAAGAATAGATATCTCTGTGTTCATATGGAAAAGTAGCTTATGTCGAAAGGTTAGCTTTAGTATAAATCGGCATTCGCAGCATACGATTGCGAATGACTCACTGGCGCTGAGCCGTTGAATAACTTTTGGCCAATAAACGTGCAATAAATAGTTCCGATACGAGCAAGTCAATAGTCTCATTAAGTCTCATCAAAAAATTCCTTGTCGTTTGAAGAATAAAGGGAATGCCGCATTATACTAAAGCCAGCCTTTCGACATAAGCTACTTTTCCATACGAACACAGATCTAATCGTTCTCTAAACGAATTCCTACTTAGTTCTCTGACCTGATTTCCAATTCGAGAAATATTAGAGTACTCTTTAATTTAAATTAGATTCCTGATGGGAAATCTATGTCTCTCTAATGTTTGATAAGCTGAATGTAGACTCTGCCTTCTAAGTTTTTGCATTTCTGAATTCAAATTTTTTAAACTAGAGAACTGTTGGCGTCCTTATTACATTTAAAGATATAATTTTCATTTAACTACGGAAATTTACTATTTTTTCCTTATCCATTTTCAGAGCGTTTGGTTCGTGAACGCGATGGCACAGAAGCATTAACTTCTGCCGATATGACCACAGTTGGAGATGCCACGAACAGGTAATTGATAAATTTCATATGTAGTATTATTAAACGAGTATACTTGCAGTGATGCAATTGTTTCCTCATCTTAGGTTTTACTGTTTTTTTAGTGCCCTTTCTTTCTTTCTTGTCCTTCTTTTGTGCGCTCCAGGCACAAACCAAAGGGTGCAGAAAACAGAACTCAGACTACATGCCGTCTGTTGTACTGTTTTTATGACCCTTTTAATCTGTTTTATATCTGCACGATTTACGAATAAATCTAAGCAGATTGTTGCATGTCAAAGAGCTCAGTGGTGCGATTCACTACGAGATTTTAACACCTCTTGGTATTGTTAAGTCAGCTAAACGACAATTTTAACAGTTTAGCTATTCGGTAAACGTTTCCCTAACAACATTCGTTAGTGCCAAATCAGCTGTTGTCGTTAACGATAACAAAGGCCGCTAATTTTACGACGTCTAGATTGGTGTTGTTAATAAAACGTAAAAGGTACGTTCTACAATTTTTTCGTATAAATGCACAGCACCGCTAGCAAAAAAATCAAAACTCAAAGGATTTTCAGCATCAAACTTGCACTTTACTGTATTAAAATTTAATGGACTACAAAACTGCATACATAATTCTGTTATTATTCTTATTAAAAACTTGAAGTTTTACGAAAGTTTGTTGAATTTTGTTTAAATAATACACACACACATAATACACTATTAAAACAAGAAAAATAAAGTAAATAGCACGATAAATAATTCGTTAAAACTTGTCTATATGGATTCCGGTTATAATTTTCCAATAGGGCGTAAAGCAATATAGAAAACTGGAAGTTAAAAGTTATAAGTCTATTTTTTTAATTTTGCAAGAACTGAATATGCCTTGAATTTAAAGGAATTGAATAATTAAATTTTTCAATTTAATACGTATACATCGCTTGTTAAAAGTATAAATATCTTATATGTATGTCCATATTTAAATATTTCTTTATTAATCATCATTACACTAGCATAATAAAATCAGTCCTAAAAATAATTACATATGTACAAAATGTGCATACAGTGATTCTTTTTAAATACATAGTAAGAATATTTTTAATGTTGAATGTTTTTCGTAAACTTTTTTTTACAGCTGCGAGCAAAATTTGGCAGAAAAATTCAAAATTATGTTGTTTGCTATTTATGTGTATTTATTTATTTTTAATAATTTTATTTTTAATAGTTCCTTCTACTATATAATAACAGAAACCACAAAAATAAAAGTTTCAAAGCTTGCACAAAATCCGACCAAAAAATCAAACTTAAAAAAAATGTTTATAAATATTTCGAACTTTTTATTCAGGATCTTTATAAGATTTACGGGTATGCAGTTTTGTAGCCCGTTCTTTTTTAGTCTGATAAAGTGCAAGTTTCAAGTCGCTAAAAGTTACCGTTGATTTTTTAGAATTTTTTCGTGGAGGGTGTTGCACTTTTTCTTCCATATAAAATGCTTGTCAACTTTGTGCACACACGAGCGCCTAGGCATATGCAACGGATTTGTGGCCATTAGCGGCAGCACAGTTAATGAATCGCACAATCGTTACTGCAAACAACAAAAATTGTTAGCTGACATCTCGACAAGTCGCATTGTTAAAAGTTAGTGAATCGCACTACAGGTGTTCGTCTGTCAACACAACGCGGTCAAATGTCCCATACCTTGTTCTTGCAAAGGCGGCGAGGCAGTGTTCCGCCATCTTATTATCTTCAAGGCGGGATAATAATACGGTCATGTACGCCTCCCACAGTCAGTTGTTTGTGCCCCGTGAAGTGACTACTCAGCAGGCCACCAAGCTATCTGCAGTCCCGTCTGCCCAATGAGTTAAGTAGGTATATCTTTTGAGATTGAAGTCAAAATGAGTTTTGCACACTTGCAGCCCCTCGATGCCTCAAGGTTATATCTGGGCGAAGTATTCACACAGTTTCTTTTCCTGTTGGTTGAATGCCAACACTCATGCCATGACTCCAAAACTCATTCTGCGTAAGGATCTGGGATCTTTATCCAAGATAATGGGGATAAGCTGCATTTTCCTCGGTCTTCCAGGCTAAGGTCTTTGCATTCCTCAAAGCCATGGACTACGTGGTGGAAAATAGGTGGAGGGCAAAAAGCAACTTTAAAACTAGTTCGACAATGCAAGTTTCGACTAAATTATGTTGGTAAACATAACGAGCATGCTTTACTCTGTCATCAGACATTTCACTAATTGTCCAGATTAGCACTCCCATCTTCGGAAATCCAAATTTTTCAATAGCAGAGCCCGCTTCCCTTTCAAATGTCCAGTAGTAAAGGTTTCACCTTGATAGTCAGCGGCAGAACATCAGCAACATCAGTTCTAATCCAATTTTTCAAAACTCTCACTTGAGTTCATCAAAATTTATCTTCATTAGGCGAAAGTGATAGTTTATTAAGGCTTGTTTCTTCCGAGGTTCAACGTCGCGAATAAATTTAAGGTCTTCTTGCGAAGTAGACCAACTGAAAGAGTGCACAATAGGGTGGTCCAAAAACGCGCAAAGTCGGAGTTGTGATGCTCTCACGCCCTAGGATTGCTCTATATCGAAAGAAGTATACTCCTATTTTTTTTATTTTAAAATCAAAAAATATTTAGAGGTCGCTCAAAGCGCTCAAAGTTTTCTATGTATATTTCTTAAAAAATTCCTAAACACCGTGCGACAAAATCGAAAAATTTCAAAACACAGGAAACAATCAATATACTCACGAAACTATATATATATATTGCAAATATAGTTTAACTACATGTTTAGTTTTCTCTCCGACCCCAGAGTTTTAAAGGACTTTGAAATTTCAATGATATGATTAATTAAGAAATTATTTTAAAAATTCAGTGCAATGTAGAATAACACTACGGGTACCAAATGCAAAAAGGACGAATAGGTATTGAAAATGTCCTTCTATTCATTTTATTTTTATTTTTTTGCTAATAAAGTTTCAAGGACGTGGTCGTGTGTATATTAGTCCTTAACATATAACTTTTTTCAAAAATAAATATTGCAAGGATACAAATTTAAAACGACATTTTCGATACCTACTCGTCCTTATAAACCTAAAATTTCATCTTATTTATGTTTTGGGGAAAAAAGGGGTTGCAATTATTCAAGCTTGCCAGATTCGCTCAAAATTGTTTATGCTTGTTTGCCACAGTCGCATAACCTAAAGTAAATTTACACACATTCACATGAACATACAAACATTCATATACATATACATAGATCTACAGCAAGTCTATACATAAAAATCAACTCTGCTGTGCAAATACTCGGTTTTGATGACCAAATGCCATTACACCTGTTGTCCGGCCTACAATTGTGTGCTTAGCAAATCCTTTCACCAAAATCATATTTACCCAAAATTTTGAGCTAAAGTATGTATGTGTGTATGCATTGACACTTGAGAGCTGGCAGCAAATTGCAAACACTTTAGCATCTCTTAAACCTATATACTAGTAGTACGGTCACATTTGCTTCACACGAAATTGACCTTTATTCGGTGCCGAGAGGGAAAACATCTGTGAATTTTGAAGTGTAAAATGACAAACCAACTCACACACAGAAATACACTGAATACAACAGTAAATGGGGTGCATACACAAAAGTACAAAATCTACAAGTGTGCTCGGATATCCTTTCGACAGCAGCTCCTTAGATCCTTTCTAGCAGCTGCGTGAAAATGCAATGGATTGCGCACTTGTATGACTGTTTTGTGTGCTTTCATATTTGTAGCTGTCACAAATTCACTCACATGCTCGAGTACTTACATTAGGGTGAATCAATTTGCATGAGAGATTTTTTCGGCTAAATATGCGCGTTTAGCACAGAATGATTCTATGTGTAATTCTAAGCAAATTTGCCGAAGAAACCATGGCTCTAAAATCAATTTGGAGTTTTCTAAATTACGAAAATAGATTTTTTAGCATTTTGCTGTAGTGTTGTAAAGAAGTGTTTAAATTTTATACAGAAACATTCTAGAAGGGCTTTTTTGCTATGAGGGTTCCATTTCTGCGCTTAACTTTGCAACAGTGAAAATTTTCACATTTTCTTCGAAACCTACTTTCGCAATTTGGTAAACTCCACATTGATTTTAGACCTATGGTTTCTTCGGCAAATTTGCTTTCAATTATGCACATGTAAAAGCCTCCTATCCTATACGCGCATAGTGAAAACAAATTTAGCCGCGTTAGCAAACATACCTATATACCCCTGAGCCTAAAATAGGTATTTTTGCAAGGCAATTTCGAAAAAAAAGTATTTTTTTTCTGCTGTCGGATCTTGAAATAGCGACGTTCCTGTTTCGAAGACACATTTTTTTGTTCCCAAGCTCATTGACCTCAAGTAGCCCATTCTAATACTTACCCACGAACCTAATATACCACACTAATGTCAGTAAATTAAAGCTCGCCGAAAATCATGAAAGATGCTTTTTGTTTATTTCAGTAGAACTATTAAAAGAAATGCTGTAAGTAGGCATCACCGAAAAAGTTAAAACACAATGCCTAGGGTCAGCAAAAAATTATATTTTTTTTGGAAATGGCCTTGCAAAAATACTTTAGACTCAGGGGAGTACTGCGAAATTATTTTTTTTTTGCTTGCAAGCTGGTGCGATCTAATGTACAAACATTCATGCGTGTGCTTCTCTTCCTTTTTCATACATACGTATTTGCTGTTTTGCCTTATTACTTCTGCTTTCAATCGCAATACAAACAAACAACGCCATGTTGACTTCAAATCACATATTGTCTAAATATTTTCATCCGCTTTGTCGCTTTTGCTTTTCCCTACCTCTCATCACTGCAGTTCACTTTGTCTGCCAGAGTAGAGCTTTATGTTTTTACAGCTTACAGCTTTTTGTTATCCTTTTGCATCCTGCATGGGAAGTAAAGTATGTTGGGTACTTACGTTTTGAGTGCACAATAGGGAATTAATAAAACGAGAACGAAAAATGAGTTTAGAAAATGTGGAATTGGAGTCAAGCCGAATATGAGCAGCGAAATATTGCAATTAGAATTATATACATATATATAGGTATGCAAACAAATTTAAGGCACAGAGAGTTTAAGGTAATTCTGTAATTTCGATTTGTGGTTGTTAGGTTCGCTTTGAAACTAATTTAGTGAATTTCCTAGCTGAGTAGATGATTAGGACTTTTAAGACCTTCTACAGTCAGATAATTTTTTTGATTGTAAAGGACTTACTTCTTTTACATAACATTAAGTTAAGTCTATTTAAATTCGAATTACATAAAACACTCGTTTTTGATTATTACTTATTATTTTCAATTACGTCTTTTCTCTTAAAATCCGTCATAATATAGAGTCTAGTCTAAATAGACACTATGTATTTATCAGGCTGTTATTAAGAGAACTGATATTAAACCCCTTATCCCATTCTTTAAGCCCCACACTGAAGCAATTGAATGAGCTATGCAAATGCTTGGTAATTGGCACGTTCGATTGTGCTGCGCCCAAAAAAGATGAACTGTCCAAAAATATAAAAAATAGTTACATGTACTTTTTATGTCATGTAGTAGAGCCCTCGAATTTCACAGTTATCGAAATAAGTCGAGTTATCGAATTTTGTTTAGTTATCGGATTTTCGTGTTTTTGAAATTCATCAAGTTATCGATATGTATAAAATTATTTAAATTTATTGAGAAACTCGAATGTATCGGGTCAATTTCAAGTCCTGCCGAAGTCCTCCAAAGATCTTAAAAGTTATAAAAAATTGTAGTCACGTTTTATTTCCAAAGCAGGAGATTTTCCAATAGGTTACTTTGAACCTTATAAGTTAGAAAACTTCTCCAAGGCTCTTAAAAACTAGAAAAACGGTCGAATTTCGACAGTAACTGGCACTCTAGTAATTACTGCTTCTATATATGTATGTAATAATGCTATATTGCTATATCTTAAATTATTATCGCGGTTAGTGCTCGACTCTCTTTGATGCTCTTCATTCTTTGGAAATCTGAAAAACTGGAGCCAAGACAAAACTTATTTACATATAAAGCTGTGTGGTATTTTATATGTTGATCGAATTCAAAAAGAGCACGCTACTAGTTTCTTTCCTGAGCTAGTTGACGTCACTTGGAAGCGCCAACTGAGGCCAAGTTCTCCACCAAGAGCGGGAGCAATGTTTTTCATAGATTTAAAAATATTGTATTCTTTGTTCATTTTCGACGGGAATTCTGCTCCTGAATTTTGAAAGGTTAAATTGTCATTTTGAGTACATTCTTTTATCGGATCTCTCTCTGACTCTGATGTTGGGCAGTGTACTTTGAATGTGGTAGCAGTATTATATATATCTCTAGCTTAGAGTGAACAGTTTCTAAGCACCATTTTAAAAATTTTACAGGAGAGGAAAAAAACTTCTTAAAGGCATTTTCCTCAAGTATTTCGCAAAACTTTGAATACAATATTTTGTCTGTTCTATAAAAAGTAAAACTCCATACGAATCAGAGAGGCTCCATCTTCATTAAAAGATTTCATACTATTTCGGTCTTATCAGATTTTCAGTGCTTCTTTTGGACTTAAGTTCTTTTGGACAAAGTTTCCTTTCATTGAATATAAACGAGAATAAATAAAACAAGTACCTTTATCCTCTACGAAATACTGCATTTTAAATTTCTCTAGCGTCCTGTGTCAAAATTCATTCTAAGCTAGCGATATGTTTTCTTCTATATAAAAACTGACGATCATAGCAAAAATTCGAGACGCATCAATTTTTTTTTTCAAAAATAAATTTTTTTTCAAACTAGAATTTTGTCTTGCTCGATTTTGTTGAGCTTTTCTAATTTTTGTACATACACTGCCGGCAAAAAGTATTGGCACTACAAATTTTTCATATTGGGTGAAAAATTCTCAGCTGGACCTCGGATTGTGGGTAGAGCGGTTTATAGATGTGAAAGGGATTCTGAGAATTTTTTTTTGTAAAATTTTAATTTTTTAAGTTTTTATAAACAAATATACTATTTTTAAGTAATCTTTTTTTCAAAACTCATTTTCTCTTAAAGTATTTGACGAAAGTTGATGAATTGAATGTAAACGTAGTGACTTTAGAGCTTTAAAAAAATATATTTTTATAATTTAGAAAAAAAAAATTTTAATTTTAAAATAAATTTTTAAGTTGCCTTAAAAATATGTTCTCTATGAGTGTTTTCCATTTCGTTTATATTTTCGAAAACTGCATTTATTGAAGAAAATATTTGTAAAAAAAAATTTTGTTAGATCTTTTCTGTTTATTACTTACAGCAACATTTGTCACAGCGCGCACGCATCGTGACCCATGCACGCTCACCGCCTATGCGCGCAACGTGTTCACTAGAAAGCGCATACAGGGGCAACTAACAATTGGCTCATATTTGCGACTTTTAACATAACCTTTTATAATAATGATGGGATTTGTGGTATTTAAAATAATCTTATCAAGTCCATTTTTCTGGAATCCCTTTCACAACTATAAACCTCTCTACCAACAAATTTTCACGCGAAAATTCCGACTTGACTGAAATCCGAGGTCCAGTTGAGAAATTTTCACCCATTGTATGCAACATTTTTTTCTAGTATTTTTCCGCCAATTTTTTTATAAAAATATGGTTCATTCTACAGCAAAAAAAAACATAAAAATATTATTCCTAAACTTTGAACAAAACTCGCGAAAATTCAGCAAATTTTCATGCAAATTTTCAACTTTTTAATCAGATTTTTTAGAATTTTTTCGGTATGCAGATATGTAGTACAATCAATTTTGTTATATTAAAGTACAAGTTTTAAGTAGCTAGGAATTACCGTTTATTTTTTGACAGTTTTTTTTACGCAATCTCTTCTATACAAAAAAATCTTCGAAAATATTTCATATGAAAAAAATGCAAAAAAACACCTTCAACCAAAAAATTAACTAACTCCGAACTTGCACGTTTTTTATAAGAATATAATGGGCTACTACAAAACTGCGTACCCAACAGAATTTGACAAAATCTGATTAAAAAGTTGAAAATTTGCATGAATATTTATTGAACTTTCGCGAGTTTTGCACAAAGTTTTGAACTCATAGTTTTGTGTTTCTTTTTTATTGTAGAATGAACCATAATTTTATAAAAAATTAGTGGAAAAATATTAGAATAGAAATTGATGCATGTGTTGTGAAAAATTCGCTGTGCCAATACGTTTTTCCGGCAGTGTATGTATGTATTCAGAAATTTGGATTTACATACATAGATTTTGTTAGACCATATCATTTGATCGCGGTGTTTACAACAGGTTCACATACAAAGTATCTATTTGATAGAACTTTTTTCAAAAACTAACGAATACTCGTACCGACTCGTACACCCTCACAATTTCGAGTAAATTCGGATTCAGATAACACAGATAATTTTTTTTGTGCTGGTGTAATCATTAATTGTTACTCAGTGCACACGCACATAATTATGTTTAGGTTTGGATTCCAATAACCAGTTACCAGTTTTTTAGGTCCTAGGTTTTGTTCGCTTTCCAGCTTTCACTTTATTACTCCGATTTTTTTTTTTTAAATCTAAAATTTTTTGTGTTTACAGCTCACAATCCACACGCCGCAAACAACAAAATGGGCGTGAACGCAATCGACGACCCAAAACCGATGAGGCACAAAATGTGGACAGCAACATCATGGAGAACGAGGTGAGTGACTTCTTTTAGATTTACTTTAAATTACATAACTACGAATATAGACGAGAGCAACGTCAACTGGATAAAACCTCAGTTCTATTATCCAAAGCAATCCTAAAGCAACAAGATGCCTATAGTTTGGCAAAAGAGTAACCGGGTTGCGGTAGCTTGGCTTTACTGCTGTTATTTGACTGCTGAAACCCTTATATTATACTTGTGCGTGTGTGCGAGTGTGCGTGCGTTTAATGGCGTACGAAATTGTCCGACAAAATGCAGGTTTTACTTGGTATATGGTTTGATAGTTTGTTTGCACACCACGAAGAAAGCCACTCGAACGGCTCAAATATCAACAGGAAAGCCCTTCTTAATAACCAGCCAGCTGCGTTGACTCTCCTTCGATGCAGTATCTTGGCAAAGTTTTTGTAGGATATGCTGCTTTGCTGCGGATATTGTGACCACAACAATGTGTATCAACTTTTCTTAATTTGATAGTTTTCCTCATCGTTTGCGCTGCATGCCATCTTCCCTGCAGTTGCAAGCGAATCCCAAAGGATGCATGTCTGATTCTGTTGCTCTGGCTCTTGCCGCTTGCTTTGTGGTGCTCCTGCATGTACACATTAGGGATGTCAATTTTCGGGGTTTTGTGGATCCTGGGATTTTCGGGATCTGAAAATGCAATCCCGGGATCCCGGATTTGTCCCGAAATTCAGGCAAAAGTGCAACACATCTGTGATCATCCTATTATAGTATTTTAAATCAGATTGATATAACAAAAAAAAGTACAATTTATTGTAATTCATTTACATATTTCTAAAGGCGATAAATCAGTATTTTCAATCAACAAAAAACAAATATAAAGTTTGACAAACATACATGTATGTATGTACATATCCTCATTAATTTATAACATAGTTTTTGTACTACAAATACAAATGCCTTTACGGTCACTCACAGAAATATTTTGCATAGATTTTTTTTGCAATATTCAGAATAGTTTCATGGTTTTTTTTTTTGTTAATTTAAAAAAATATATATGTATGTGCAATTTTGAAGTTGCGAAAACATCCCGTCGACATTTTATTTTTTTTTTTTGCTACATAAAAATTCGTTATAAGGAAGAAAATGCCCAACATCGTCAGTAAAAAAAAATCAAAATTCAAGGGAGTTTTTAGCAACTTTAAAATTGCACTTTTTTGTATTAAATTGAATGGGCTATAAAACTGCATAATAGAATTTTTTGTAAAAATTATTTTGTAAAATTATGATTGATATTTTTATGATAATTTGGTGAACTTAAACCAACTTTCTCNGAATTTTTTGTAAAAATTATGATTAAAAAGTTTGATATTTTTATGATAATTTGGTGAACTTAAACCAACTTTCTCTAAAGTGTGAAATTTTGGTTTAAATGATTTTTGTTGTAAAATGACCTATATATTTTTTTTAATTAACAAAAAAATACCATGAAAAATATTTTGAATATTGCAAAAAAAAGCGATGCAAAATATTTTTGTAAGTGACTGTATTTGGCACAGCAGTAACTGCCTATGTAACTATATAAAATTTTTTGAATCACGGTTTGAGATCAATTTAAGATATTATCAGTATATTTAAGTAATAATAAAAGAGTTAACACATTGAAGTAAACAATAAATATATAAGTGCATCACCTATTCTATTTCGAGCGAAGCAAAATTATTCCTTCTTTTGATGGTAATGCGATCTTAAAGAAATTATAGCATTAAGGGTTGCAAAAAATTCTTAATTTGCCCTTGAGAGGGGATATTTGTGATAAAAATTTGATTGGCTAACAAAAAAATTGTTTCCAGCAATCCCGGGATTTAAATCGACTAATCCCGGGATATTCCGGACTTAAAAAAGATCGGGATCCCGGGATCCCGGGATCCCGGTATTTCCCTAGTACACATGTATGCATGTGTATGTATGTACATTAGGATGCCTCAGCCAAAATTGTTGCGGGTTTTCCACCGGAAGAATAGATTTTATTATATTTTAAGAGTTTTACGTGAGCTGAAGTGATTTGAAAATACCGCCAAAAATCGATTTCTTTATAATTAAAATACGTTAAACATTTTTGTTTTTTTTCATAAACTACCTCAGATGATGGAAGAGTTTAAGTGCAAAGGCTCTGCATAAAAATGTTTAAAAATGGTATCAACGGAACCAAAAAAAATCGGATTTTTAGTGGAATTTTCAAATCGAACCCGCGCGAGTAAACCTTATTATTTTTCCGAAGTAATGTGGTGCAGGTCTTAAAATTTAATTAATGCTACAACTCCGATGAAAAACAGTACGGATTTTTTTTTATGGATAGTGATGCACCCTAATATATATTTGTACTTGTATGTATTGCTGGCTGAATGTGCGCATACTGCATAGCGTTCCTAATCAGATTTGCTCAATCCAGTTATTCCACTTGTATGTGCGCAGAGAGCGAGCAGACCAAGCAAGCGTGCATCCTTTAAAGCGTCGGCGTGTGTGCTTGCAGCAATAGGGAGACTGCTGCAACGATTGCATTGACAACAAGAGTAATACGTTTTTCGTAATATTGTCAGCGTTCAAATATGAAATTGTACATATTTTTTTACTCCTTTTCTTTTTTGCTGTTTGCTGTGTCTTCTTTGTTTGTGGACAACGAAATTTATGCGCTCGTTGTTTTTTTTTTTTTTTTGTCTGTCGTTTGGTTTATCTTTTATGAGTTTTAAGCAATTGAAGCTTGTTGAAGTGTTGTTTAAATTTTTTTTTGTGTAATTTAAATTTCGTACTTTTTTTGCACGGTTCTCAGTTTCTTTCTACTACATGGATAGAAGTATTTGTTGTCTTATTTTCATGCTCATCTTCAAAAATTACATTTTTCTCCTTCAGCCGTTTTCCATTTTGTTTTGTGAAACAATAAAAATAAAAAAACAAATAATTAAAACATTCTCACTCAAACTAATTGCATATTTATTGTCTTTTCTTCTTCTAACTTCTCTTTCCGCGTACCTTTCAACTTATCGTCATCGCTTAGCAGTCGCAATTAGTACAACAGGCCAACGAAAGTGGCGGCAGTGAAGCGCCAAAATCTACAAGCGCCACCAATGGTGGCAGTCGCACCAGTATTCTACTAGCGATGCCATACTTCCAGGCGCTACTCAGCAATCTGCAGGTGAGCTGGTCTAACCAGAAGAAGGTGTAGAGGAAGGGGGAAAGCATAGAATGCTCACAGTACAAAGAACAGTACAAGAAAAAAGTGAAGACAGTGTACATGTCGTCGTCGGTCAAACTGTCAGTGCAGCGGTCACTCAAACAGTCATTCAAATAGTCAGTGAAACGCGCGCTTCAAACTCATTGTCATTGCTGCTTTTTAAAGAGGGAGTGTGCGAGTGGGCGGTGTTGAAGGGTCTATAGTTGCTTGCTTGTGCAGTCAGACAGGCTGTCCATCCAACTGTCTTCTTCATCTAACCAACTGACTGTCAAGTACCGCCGGCCGCCATGCCCCTCTTTAAAAGCTTTTAGCCTTTCTTTTAGCTTTTTTTTTTTGTCTGCCTGGCAGTTTAACCGTCGGCAAAGGGAAACAAGAAAACGCAACCGCACTAGCCGAATGTCAGCGACAGTTGATATGCTTTCTTGTTTTTGTATTACTTTTCACTGGCCACTCTATTCACTTCCTTCTTCTGGTAAATTTACTTCGTTGTAGCAAATATTTGTTTGTCGTTCATTTAATTGTTCGTTCGTTTGTTTGTTCGTTCGTTTGTATGTTTCTTTGTTGGTTGGTTGTTTCATTTCCTTGTTCGTCGGTTCGTTTGATCGTTTCATTTTCTTTTCTTCACTCATTATTTGATACACTCGTTTGTGCGTTTGTTGTTATTGTTGTTCGTCATTGCATTGCATTGTACATTAAACGTCACTGTGCCATTCATCGTTGCACGCCCTGTACAAATGAAAATGTTCAGTCAAGGTGTTTGCCTTCTTTCATTTCAATTGATTTTCATGCGATTTTTTGTTGGTTTCATGCAATTATTGTAACACCCAGGCATTCAAACACTTTTATTGTTGTTAATATTGTTTCATCATCGTTTTCGCCCACTTTTGTATGCATTCATTCACCTCTTCCGCATTATATACTTCACTCATTGTTTTCTTTTTCTTCATTTATCAATAAAACCTTTGATGGGTCGGGCGTGAATAATTATGATGCTGATTTTAAATTGTTTATTTTTATAAAAAATTAAGCTTGCAATGAATACCTGCAGCTATATTCTCAGTTAAAAATAAGTTCATATGTATAAGTATGGAGGGACTTCGTTTTTAATAAAAAAAAACGCATATCACACGGCATTTTTTTTGCAAATTCGGAGTGCAAACACTTCACTGTGGAGGAGTATTCTTTATGGAAAAAATTGGCTTTTTCTTTGACGGCCAAGTTGAACTGCATTTATAAAGCATTTTCTAGTATAAAAAATTAATTTCGGATTAAACTATGCCAAGCATTTTTTGAAACTTTCTTATCTGCATTTGGTATCAGAAATTACCATAAAGCTCAGTGAGAATACCTCTGCCTCTTTTACATGTTCTCCGCTAATTTCTTTAAGACCGAATTTATGTACGTTAAGGCAGAAAAATGTCCTCTCTTAGACACCGTTACTTCTACGACGGGTCACCGCAACATGCACAGCAATGACATGGCATTCATATGAACTTAATTCAACCTATACCACGAATTATTTTGTGGTTGTCTATGAGTTAATTTATTGGCCACACTTTCTGGCACGAAGTTTATTGTAGTTGTAAGTAGCATTTATCCTGTAGAGTCTGCCACATCCTTGGAGTTTCGTTTCAATTTGGGCTGAAGTACATTACTTGCTGCAATAGCTATAACTCACCGGGGCGGACGGAACTTTGAAGACCCTATTCAATATCTGTCCAGAATTGTGTCGATAGGAAGGAGTATATTTGCTAAAGTTCTGAAATTTAACAAGGTGGATTTAATAGAAATATGCTAAATATATTATTCTTTCTTATTCGGAAATTTCATAGCGCAAATAAGTATTGCCCCAACTGCAAAAAGTTCGTATTGAGTTACAAAGTTTCATTCCGGAAAGATCGACGTAGCGGCAAAAACTCAAATAATTTTAAATGTATAACCTCTTTTTGAAGAGTACGAACTCTTTCCACTACACTTTCGGTTAGCGATATTCGTTTAATCGAAAGCTGTCAACTATTCGATTAGTCGTTTACATTAGATTATTCAGTTAACCGTTTATTTTCGGTTAATCGAATATTTTAAGCTCAAGTTTTTTTTGCATTTTTAATTTTCCTTTTTGGCGTTCGTGTGTAACGACGACTATCGTTTAGATTTTCATTGTGGCAAACTTCGGCTAAAAGTGCGCTAATTATTGAAATTTTATTGCGTAATATTTTAGAGACAATGGCTAAAGTAATACCTACGTCCAATTTTGCGTTTATTTTTTTTTTACGAATTTCAGAGAATATGTGGAGCAGTTGTAAAACAAAACTTCACCACATATGGAACTAGTTACTTTCTTTTCGTCCTCGGATTCGAAAGTATCCCAAACCCAGCTGTTTTGGCTCGCGCTCATTTTTGTATTCGAAAAATATATATGTATGTATGTACATTAGAGTTTTCCAAAAACAATAAAGTCGGAATTTAAATTCGGCCACCCCTGGGATCATTCTGAATCTAAAAAATATACCCCTATCTTTTATTTAAAAAAAAAAAAAATATTTAGGGATTGCTCACAGTGTTCAAACTTTTCCATGTATTTTTATATGGGAAAAACAACTTTTCGTTGAAACGGTATAAAATTCTTGAAAATAAGTATTTTTCCATCGGAAAACTGTGGTTCTCTTCAGGAGTCTTGCAATTGTTTATTTAACCTTTTTTTAGTACTAAAGATCTCTTCTTGGTCCCCCATTGCATTTTCGGGGGGTTTTGGAGGACCTATAAAATATAAAAAGTCGCCTAACTTCGACAATTTTTATGCGATTGCAATAAATGCGATATCAGATTATTTGAAAATAGATTTAATTTTAAATAGTGCTCCATATTTTAAAATTGTAGAAATTATCGATGGTCAAAATTAAAAAAAATTTTGAAAAATAGGAGTCTTTTTTTAATTTACCCGATAAAAAAGCCCAACAAGCCTAGTGCAACAATAGATTTTTATATACCATTTTAAAGGCCTATATATCCTCCGCTCAGATCGTATTCGTTTTGGGAAATGGAATCAAAAATAGTAATTCAAAAACTTATAAATCTTTAAAATCGTACTTTCTGTTCTAAATCGACAGGTCGCGACCTCTAAATGACCTTTAAAAAATCTATAAAAATAGGAAATAATGTTTCTCATAAAAACGAATAAAATTAAGGGTAGAGTCTTGAAATTTGCAAAAAAAAAAGCTTTTCCGATAGGCACCCTAATATACACATTCATATGTATATGTACTTCCATTCTCAATTACACCACCTACTTGCTGTCGACTTACATATGTAAGTTACGCTGTAGTTTTGGTTACAGTTTTGATTACAATTTCGGCCACCGATTGAATTTCAGCAAACGACCAAGCGTGGCGTGTGTCCCACTCTTTCCTATACGAACCTACATATGTATAATATTTCGTTATTTCTTGCTTGAAGTGCCCAGGTTTGCGCCGCCTTGCTGCTGCTGTGCCACTTGCGTACTTCTGTAAAGTGCTGCTTTTGTTGGCTACCTCAAATTTGTGGCAGATCCTTTTGCTGCCAACTACGACTATATGACTTTAGTTATTTCTGTCGCCATAACGGCTCACAAGTACACTTTCAGTTTCTAGCTTTTGTTTCTCGGCGAGTGTGCTTACTTACTTGTCGAGCATTTTTGTTGTTTTCGTTTCATATTCATTTCGTTTTTGCATTACTTTCACGTCGTCTGCTAGCCATTTTGGGCGCATTGAGTGTGCAACACAGTTTCAAATATACATTTTTCTTTTGTTTTTGTCAAGTACATTGGCTATGTGCTACGGACTGAAGCGCGTTTTGGACGCTGGCGTCTGCCCTGCTTTCAACTATGAGTGATTTTGAGTTGCACTTAATTTCGTTTTAGTACGCTTTTTGTGCACTGCACTTCGTTTCCGTTTGTTTGGCTGCGACTGCATGCCTTTCGTCATTGTACCTTTTTATTTAGTTTTAGTTATTTTTGCCTTTTGCGTGCGACGCCGCAATTTAACACCTTTTAGTCAACATTTATGACAATCCTTTGTGCAGGTTTGATGGCAGAAAATGTTACTAAATGTAATACTTATACATGTATAGTATGTACATATGTTTGTACCTATGTATACTGTAGTATAAATATATTTGATAGGATAGGGAACGATCGTTCCATTTTATTGCTTTTTATAGTTGCGTATACGCCGTGGCATGCGTTAAAATGTACATTCCCGTAGCTACGCCATGTCGACTATTATTAAAAGCATCTGAGATGCATTTATGTGCTTAAGTGCTAGCGACGTTGAAGTGATTTCTATTAGAGATGTGCTCTCTTCAATTCTACTTAATTTGCAGTGAGGTAGAGTACTTCGAAAATCTTTCATGCGAACTAAAAGTGCAGAGAAAGCCTAAATCAGTCAGTAATCAGTTTCGAAGCGAAATTTAATGAAATTATATAATTAAACTACTTTTAATAAATCGAAATATTTGCTTCTTATCAATATAAACGGGAAATTTTTAAAAATGTTCAGCTTTATGAGATAGTAATATATAGACATTAGTGTGCCTCACAAAAAAGTTGCGGATTTTTTTCCACCGGAATTATAAAATATATTATATTTTAACACCTCCGCTAAAATATTTCGGGAAAATAGTAGGGATTACATACGTGAACTCGACGGATTTGAAAATACCTCTAAACGTCAATTTTTTTTGTTTCCGTTTACGCTTAAACTCTTCTATCATGTGTAGTGATTTCTAGAAAAAAAAATTAAATAACTTTATTTATAAAAACCTCGATTTTTGGAGGCATATTTAATTGGTCTAGCTCATGTAAATCTTTATATTTTTCCGAAGTACTTTAAGGGAAGTCTTAAAAAACAAAAAAAAATTATACTTCCGATGGAAAAACACTTCCGATTTTTTTACATACATTAGGCCGTATTAAAAAAAAAAAACTA